CGCGGCCGGGACGGGACACAGAGGCTCTCGCGGCGCACGGCCAAACCGCTCCAAAATCCTTTGAAAAGGGCCAAAACGGCGCAGGGCAGAGCGGGAAGAGGTGTGCTGCGGCAGGAGCTGCGGCACTGGCCGCTGAGCAGGGAGGGAGGCACGGGGCGGCAGCTGGGCTGGGGAAAGGGGTGTGTGTGTGCGTAAGTTTGGCTCTTTGTTTCTCACTGCCTGCCTGCTTTAGCTGGCTGTGAGTTCAGGGCCCGTCCTGCCCGCGGTGCTCAGGGGGAGGTGTCTGTGCGTGCTGTCCCCGAGTGCTCTGAGCCACCCAAGGATCCCACCGCGGCCCTCACAGGGTGTTTTCCATTAAAGCTCTGAAACGCGAGGGGCTACAGCCTTTGAAACACCTTGTGTTTGTGGCAAACGGGGTTTTCCGACCGCCAGAATTTGTCCTTTGCCTTGGTGGTGGTGGATGATGGTCTGGTTACGCAGAGCAGTGTCTCTTACTAGTCTAGTGTTTTAATTTAGCTGCAATTCCTCTGTGGATTCTAATCAAGAATGACACAGAACTTCACGGACTGCCTTTGAACGAGTGCTCACCAGCATGTTAGCAGCGGGTTTTAAGTAGGAGGGAAGGTTCAATGAAGCTTTTATTGTCCTATTGGTTTCTGAATAGAATCCAATCATATCTTAGAGAAGCAAAACAGCTTGAAAAGTAATGCTTTCAGAACTGAAAAATCCAACTCTGAATTCACAATGTCGCCTTTTGTCATAACTGCTGCTGTGGTTAGCACATGTTTCATTTAGCTGTGCCCCAACGCGTTGTGCTTTGTTTGTGACACGAGAGTGATCTAGACCTGCTGTGTGATTTCAGGTTTCTGCACTGAAGAACAGGTTGAAGAAAGTCTCTACAACCACTGGAGATGGTGTTGCAAGAGCCTTTCTAAAAGCACAAGCAGCTTTCTTCGGGAGCTACAGAAACGCCCTGAAAATTGAACCTGTAAGTAGGCAATTAGTAGGGGTAAGATGTAAATCTGCAGCTGTGGTGGAGGAAAACCCTAACAGTTTGTAGTGTATCATAACCTGCTGTTACGAAGGTCAGCGCGGTGGCTCTTGGCTGGCTAGGACTGGAAACAGTGCAGGTCTCCAGAATGAAAGAGGTGCAGCAAGCATGATCCATCACACAGGGAGTAACCCTCCTGTGACAGATACAGGTGTGGCTTGTTTTTAAAGGCAGTCAAGTTAGAAGAGGTGCTAAAAAGTGTAAATTAATGATCATGATGGGCTGGTGAAGAGCTGACCATTTCCTCTCCCTGCAGAATCTGTCTCTCCATTGTGTTACTTTGTATGCTTAACTGTGAAATATGCAAATTTATGGAATCATGCCTTTTAAGAACATAATTAGTAAAGGAATTGTGTTTCTGCAGAAATATGAAGAATGGCTGGAGTTGTAAGTATTGACAATAAATGTCTTAGGGAAGGAAATTCAGTGCCTTGCTCCTGGTTCAGAGCTGGGCTCTATTTAGTGCCATCTCAGTGGGGGGAAGACTTTTCTGTACTTGATCTTGGGTTTTATTGCTTCCAGTGAGGCATCTGTTCCTGGCTTACTGCAAGTAGCTCTGTGGACTTCAGTACAAGTCAGTCCTGCCAAATTAATGTATTTCCACATGTTTTGTGCCACTCTGGTTTTGCTGCAGTGTACTTAGGGGAGCCCTTGGAAAGTGTGTGCATTTGCTGATAGACAGGGACAAGGTTAATAGTATGAGGAATGTAATTTGTCATGTATGTCCCAGAAACATGGTGGATGAAAAGTACTAACTGCAGAGTGATCCACGGAGTGTTTGCAAAGTGCTGTGTGTTCCTGTTTCTGAAGCAGAGGAAACAAACACGTGCAAGTGCGATGCAGTGCTAAATCTGAGTGCAGCCTTCATGGCCTCATTTGAACTGCTGTTGTTTGGACCTGTGGCTGCTTAACAAGATCTCTGTAGAGGACAAATACCCTTTTGTCTTAATACCTTCTTCCCTCATCCTCAAGCATGTGGAGGCAGAACAGAAAATTGGTGCTAGCAGTGGAAAGCCACTGGGAGATGCTGAGTTCTGAGTGTACGTGGGAGGCTAAAGGAGTGGAATGACACTGAAGGCTTACTGGTGGAGAAGAGGTGGTGTATTTTGCTTTCTCCTGCTCTGTGAAGATTAATGAAGAGATCTGGCCTGCAGACACGTGATAAATCTGATTTTAATCATGATGTTAAGTGAAAAGGCCCAGAGCTGGACTATGGGCATAGTGTGTCTTGAGGATGTCTCAGTAACTAAAGTCTCTTCAGTACTATAGTTTGTCTTACTTGTTCTTTTTAAAGCCAGAAGGAAAAAATAGCTCAGCCTGAATTTTAAACAGCCCAGTTACCACCATCAAATAAACATTTCAAGGATTCATATTCGGGGTTCAAAAATGACTTCTGAAGTCAGCATGAGTCCTTCCACATCTGACTGGGGAATCTGTGTGTCATGGCTGTGGGAAAGATAAATACTGCTGACTTGTGTCTGTGTGTCTGGGTGTAACAACTGGGCTTTTAAAGCATCTCAGGTGCCATAGTGGGAGGTGTTTCAGATGGGTCCATATAACTGACAGGCTCCCTGCCTGTGAGCCTCCTTTATCCCTGCCGGGAGACACTGACTCCCCTCCAGCCCTGCAGCCTGCCTTGTTCTCCCATGCTCCTCCCAGGAGTTGCCAGGCAACTCTGGGAATATTGGTGTATGCTTTGCCTGGATGTGTGTGTGAGATTAACTAGTTAAGGGATTTATGAAGGAAAATAAAAATTTAAATTGCTGTTCTGGAAATACCATCTGGTATTTTGAAGGCTGAACGTTAAAGATGAATGTTTGAAATGAGCTGACAGTGGCAAACCCCTAGAAAGGGCAACTTCAAGGGACAGCAAACCTGAGGAAGTGAAAGAAATTGTTTGTTTGCCTAGTACTCCATCACAGAAAACTTGTAAACATCGTTGCGTGAATCTGACGTAAAAATCCAGTTTAGTAATCAGACATGGAAATTTTCAGGGATTTCTTTCCTAAGTCCTTTTGTAAATCAAAAATTTAATTTCTGATTATACCTTTCAGTATTAGGATTTCAATGAAGACAATTTGCAAGTGGTTCCTGTTCACGTATCACCTTCACATGTGGTTAACCTGGGGAATAAGCACTGCCAAACGTGGTGTGGTTCTTGGCATTTGGTGTCCCACAGCTCAGGAAATCTGACTGGTCATGTGAAATCATTGACAAATAGGAAATCAATTCAAAGAAGCAGCAGCTTTTCCTCCTCTCACAGTTTTTGTCTCATAAGACAACCAAATTTCATAGCCATCTCACTGCTGTGAGCTGATTTCTGGGGTCAGTGATGGGAAGCTTTTTCATTGCACTGTGTAGGCCCAGAATGTGTCACAGAGCAGACTTTAAACTCACATGATTTTACTGAGGCATAGTAAGAGCTTTTGTTCTGTTCAGACTGTTACTCTAGAGATACCAGGTGTGCAATGTACATACAAACCAGAACACTGACAATGAATTTCTGTTGCTGTAAACTTTCTGAGGTTTTTGGTAACTGGAAATTGTGTGAAAAGACATACCCAGGTAATACAGTATGCAAGTCTCATCATAAGGTTTCCATGATTTGGTGCTGTTTCCCGCTGTGTTTGCTGTAGCTGTTTTAAGCCAGGTGTTAAGTACAGTGTCTGTCAGGTGTGACCCGGTTGCTCTGAAGTGCAGTCAATCCCCTGGCAGCAGGTTGGTTCCTGGGCTGCACTGAGACACAGCATCTTTATGGTAGGAATTGAATTTCTACCAGCGACACCAGTGTGAGCATTTTGTTCACTTGAATGGTGTTTTTCAAACTCCCAATGTTTGGGCTGTTTGCAGAGGGAATGTTTTTATCAGCTTTCAAATACCGAATTCACACAAGGTAGGTGCTCTCCGACAGAAAAAGCTGTGTGATGACGAGGTGCGTGTAAGGTGGTTGGGAGCAGGAACAGCTGTGTGATCCCGGGAAGCAAGGCTCGGGTTTTTGGGATCGGAGCTTGGCCATGCACTTTCTTCTGCTGACACCTAGTGGTTGTGGACATTTCATTCCGTGTCTTGCCCGAGGGTTGGTGCCGCCCAGCACCTGTGAGTCAGGTGAGCTGCAGTGAGGCTGCCCCAAAGCCCAGGGTGTAGGCTGTGACCCGGCAGGACGTGGTGCTACAGCCGGGCTAAGCCATGTGGTGAACAGCAGCTCCAGTGTGATGTACAGTCGTCTCAGAGGACAAGTGCTCTGCCTATCCTCTGGTACAGCAGTGATCCTACCTGGGGATGGTACCTGCAGGAAACTGTTGGATGAAGTACTGTTGCTGTGTTGGAAATATTTCTCCATACCCTCCACCTTCCACGCTGAACTAGGGCCAGAATAGTGACCAATCCCAACTGCAGCGTGGGGGAAATGGTAGTAACTAAATCTCTTCAATGAAACACCAATTAATTTATTCTATGCCTTCATGGTTAATTATTCAATCTTATTCAGGTTTATTAGCCTGAGCAACCATTAGTATAACTGGATTAATTTTATTTGTTCTGAATTGATTTGGTTTAAATTTAACCTAATATTCCTGAGATCCATCCACTTAAGAGTGAGCAGAAAGTCTCAGAGGCAGAGTTGATGTCCTTTTCTGTTTCCACACTTTCCATGTGCTTCCATTGCTGAATTCCTTGCTAATGTGTGAATTGCTGATCTTGATGTGAAGCTGCTTGTTGAAACTCATGCATGTATTCTGCAGTGCAGGTTTCACAGTGCTTTAGCTGAACTGCCCTGGACGTATGAAGGTGTTTGTGTGCACACTGCTGCCTCGGTTCTGTGGCCTGGCACAGCCTGACAGTCTGTATCTGGGTTCGAAATAGAGAAGACAATGTACTACCAGTTTGCATAACTGTGACTTGGATATGAAATTTCTCTTAGTATGATGCAATTTGAGCAGTGGTGGGAGACAAAGCCATTATAAGTAAGAGAAAATATCAAGTTATTCTCTTTTTAAACATAACATTCAATTCAACTTAAGGAAATAATTAATGTATTAATTATTTTTTATCAATCTGTTGAACGGAACACAATAAATTCCTTCAACAATTGCAGACCCGTGGATCAGGACTGAAGTCAGAAAAGTAGATGATATTTGGGGCAGAGTGAAAGAAGCAAATGCCAGATGAGTCTAAAAGGAAATTTGGTTGGAGTATGTGTGCGGTAACATAAAGTGCATGTTACATACTGGTGCATAATTCATTTTGCAAAGGCTTTGTAGCATTCAGTGCTTTATCTACTATGAAGTATGATTGTTGCCATGGTGAATTATTTTTTTAAGTTATTCAGTGTAAGAGTAAATAGTTGTTTCCAACTCCCAGTAATTGCCAGATCCCAGTTACTTTCCCTCCATGCCCATCTTCCACAGAGCTTTTTTTTCCCCTGCATGTATATTTTAAAGGTACACACTGTATGTGGAGTAGGTTCTTCCCTGTTGCCAGAGCTGTCTCAGCAGGTCAGAGCTTTAGGAGGGTTTGTCCATCTCTAGGAAACACGAAGGAGGAATATCCCTAATGCTTACCTGACTTGTGTACAGACCTGTTAAAATGAACCCCAAGCTGCAGGGGAAACAGTGAGCAGAAGCTTATTAAATAGAACTTTTTGTTTTACTTGCAGTGTCGTTGTGTTCCTTTTAAAGTCAGTGCTGGTGTTTAGGAGTAGGAATTTTCTGCCATCCATATTCACTATTTTCCTGTTCAGGTGGTGTGAGCTCTCAAATCCTTGCCTGTAGGGACAGTCTCAGAGTGTCTAAATGACACTAATTTCTAAATCTCATCTTGATGACTTTGCTAACAGATAGCAGTAGACAATGAAAGTGGCACTGACAGTGACAGTGCGTAAAACCTGAAGTTTGTGTGGTAAAAATGGAGATAAATTGAATTTCTGTATATTCTGGAAC